GGAGCCGACATCCTTGGGGCATTTGCTCCCGTGATGAACAATGCAGAGAACTGCCTAGTCATCTCCCTCTAGGACCCTATGTTATTCATCGGAAGGAAGGTCTCGAACCACTTCATGGTCGTATCGCCTAGGCTCATTGAAAACACCCGGCACAACAACCTATGATATGAGTGGTATAGAGGCATCAATTTGTATTGTCGGAGATAAGCCTTTGGGTCAGAACGTTCATCATAAACCTTAGACTGCGGCACCACAAACTTTTTTGGTATCTCCACCTCCATGATACTTCTAGTGAATGGTGATTGAATGACTTCGTTGCTTAGGTCGTCATCTGGGGTGGACTTGTCCATCCTTATGGAGTTCAATTTAGACCTCAGGTCCCCCTAGCCCTTGTGGTGCCTCCTTCCATCATAGTCACGATGGCCGGCATGCCTCCCGACTCCTCCATTCTTTACGGAGAGGGTCGACCCCTCATCGGACTCCTCCGCAAGCCTTCGCCCGGATAGTCTTTGACGGAAGCCGTTCCAAGCCAAGGGTCTGGCCCTCTTTGCTGGGACTCCGGGACCTGTCCATTGTCCCTCGGGCATTTGGGAGTTTTGGAGCCCCATGCTCTGCCATTGAGGCTGTTCCTGAAGTCGCCGGCCCCTACCTCCTTGATGGAGGGCTCCTTAGATGATTGCGATTTTCGAGAAACATAGTCGGAGAGTGCAAATTCGTTGAGTCTGTTCAGAACATTTACGTTGTTCTCCTCAATCTGCCTCAAGCAGTCCCTCAACCAATCTTCGATGAAGTTGACAAGTTAACAGGCTAGGGGCCCATCCATTTCACCCCCAAGGCTTAGTTCAGTTTGGCGGGTTCTTTCTTTAGAATGGATCGAAAGCTTCTTGTTGACGCTTTCGACCTGATCCTTTGTTTGTGAAATGGATAGAGCTAGCACGTCCATGGTCCTCTGTTGAGGACCTTTTCCTTTTAAATGCGTATTCACCATGGTCACTGTCACCGAAAAACTTGGTTATTTCCCACAGATGGAGCCAAATTGTGCGCAATGATTTTCGCACAGTAAATAGATTGACAGATCTCTCCCTTGATGAACTTGAATTTGCTTGGAAAGTTGAGGTTCCCCAGCAAATGGGTGTTGAGAGATGGTAATAGAGGATGATGGAACTCTTCGCAAAATTGCTCTGGTCATTCTTAAGTTATCGAACTGAGTCTTGTCACTAAAAAAAAGGTAGGAGGGCACCAGAGTGTGTTCTGGTGTGACCCCTCTGACGATCAAGTCAGTATTTGATAGAGGGTTAGAAAAACATTGTTTTATTACTTGGGTGAGATTTTGCGTGTCTTAGACTTGTGTTTGAGAGTGTTATTCATACCTCTCTAGAGTTAACCATTGCAAACAACTGGGTCCCTTAGAGGGAAGACTCTTCATTGGCTCATTTGGAAGGCAACATGTGGTGCATTGTCCTTGAGCAGAGTGCCTTGCTTTTCACGCGGCAAAAGCTTATGCATATAGTGCCTGAATCCCCGAACATTTAATGCTCGTTTTTCTGACTTTGTCAAGCAATAAATATGTTTCATCCTTTTGTTGGGTCATTTAATGAGCTCTGGTTGTGGCTGCGCAAGCGCAGAGACACTTTCATCCATCACCCCCAAGGGGTCAATAATTACATATCTTGTACACCAGACGTCTTCCTCATTGGTTGCTAAATTGTCTTTGCAACCATTTTGGCTGCCTTGGAAAGGGGAATTGATGATTAATAGATAATCCAATCTCTAATGTGGTGACGTCATTCTTGATTCCTTTAAGAACTTAACCATTTGGCATAGGCCAAGCGCCAGGATGATTGTCAACACCTAGGCGGAGTGGGGACTCGACGTCGAGGACGCATGTCAAGAGGAGGGATCCTCGTGGGATTTGGGACACCAAGGACGGGTGTCAAGTGACGAATGTTCTGTGAGGGACTCACGCCAATGACACTTGTCAGTCTCAGAGAGATCTGAGGAGTCTTGAGTTGAGGACACGTGTCGAATTATAGAGGGTCCGATTCTTGTTGCGCCGAGGACATGCGTGGATTCATGGAGGCTCCATGCTCATCATGCCGATGACACGTGTCATCTCCCCATTAATTCGTGGAAACATCTCATCAATTATATTTTCCTGCCCGCTTAGAGTTATTAGGATTTTGCATGGCCTTGTGTCTTGTAGGCTATTTATACTATTAGAATATCCCAATATGGTTTAGGTTTTTTTAGATATTCTATTACCTTATTTTAATCTTCTAGGATATTCTTTTCAAATTGTCCCAATGCGGTTTAGATTTTTTTTAGATATTCTAGTACCTTATCTTAATGCAATTGGACACATAAATGTCAAGTATAGGATTAAAGCGAAAAGCACAGAGTAGTTGATCAATTGTATAGATTTAAATAAATCACTACAAGAATTATGGAAAAATCGGTCATTTAATTTTTAACGTTTAACTTAAATGCCACTAAAATTGATGTTTGTTTCTATATGCCAGATAATATTAATAAAAATAATAAAAAAAAATTTTTGCTTAATTTCTGGCGTTTAAGTCAAACGCCAAAAATTTTTTTTTTCCCTCCCCCAACATAAACTTAATAAAAAAAAATTCGTTTAATTTTTGGCGTTTAAGTCATACGCCACAAATTCTTAATTAAAAATAATAAATTTTTTTTTTCCTTCCCCAACATAAACTTAATAAAAAAAAAATTCTCTTAATTTCCGGCGTTTAACTCGAACGCCACAAATTCTTAATTAAAAATAATAATTTTTTTTTTCCTATACCAACGTAAACTTAATTTTTTTTCAATTCATTCTCTCGACTTCTCTGGGGACGACTCTCACCGGCTCTTCTCAGGCGACAACTCCTTGTCATCCCTCTCACAGGCGACTCCTCTTCTTTGGCTCTCTCTGAGGTGACTCTCTGATCGTTTTCTCTCTCTCTCAGCACGCATTGTGCTGTGATCTATAAGTACCTTTACACATTCTGAGCTCTATTATTGTGTTTTATCTATCTAACCTTTTTACCATTTCGCTTCTTGTTGAATTTGTGAAGGTTTAGTTTAATTTGGTGCAGATTTTTCATTTATTTATTGATTCTGATTTAACTTTGGATAATTTTGAATTCATACAATGTACTAGATCTCTGATGAACCGAAGTCATCCCGCTAAGCATTTAATATATTATGCTTTGGTCTGTAAATAGATCTACATAAATTGTTTTTAACAAGTAACTAGTCTTAATTAGTCTCCTCAGAATGATTGGATTAAGATGGTTAGAACCTCTCTCATCATTTTTGACAATAAATTTATGTTTATAAATTTATGTTTATGAGATTTCATCATTATGCATTTTTCAGTTTTTGAGTTACCATAGAAGTAAGTGGGAATGAGGATGGGTTAACACTTCAATTTTATGACCTTTTTCCAAACTTTTTGGCAACTTTTCAGGGAGAGATTACACACACATGCATATACTTCTGTGGTGGTGATTATTCTGTTGTCAGAAATCAAATTGCATGATATCCTAAATACACTCACAGGTTTGTTTGCGAACTAAATTAATCAATGCAAACTTCATTCTTTATGTCGTGATTTGTTATTCCCAATGATAAGAAATTCAAATGCAAAACACAGGTATGCCGGCTGTCCAAGATACATGCATATTAATCATTAGAAATTTAGAACTAAGAAAATTGTTGAGGATGAACACCCCAACTCAATATTCAGGGAATTCCTGTTTAATATGTATGTAGTTAGTTTTCATGATAAACCAGCCATATGATAAATAAACATGTAGGAAACTCCTGTTTAAATAACTGCCCATCCAGGGTCTTCAACTCCAATGCACTGCCATTCTGGTGTTGCAATCAGTGGAGTACTTTTCCAGTGCTGTTGTTGCATCCTGTAAATCAAATTTCTCCGCATTTAATGTTGAAGTATGCTCAATCACTTCAACATGTGGTTGTGATGTTCTGTGATGTAATTTTTCTATATCCTTACTCGAAACACTCTTTCATGTGCATGGGTCACTCTTTCAATGAAGTGGGTAGTTGCTGGTATGAAGTAGAGAAATTTAATTATCCAAGAAGTCTGGGCCATCCATCCGATGATTTGTGTTTCTGCATCTCGGTAACTTTTCCTCAGTATTTGACTAGAATATAATGTCTTGCTGCTGCTTAAACATATGTATGATGGTATTTTTATCACTATTTATAGGTCTTCCAACAAATCCCGGGCACACTTTTGGTGAAAGGATCATTGCAGCTTAAAGAAAGCCCAGTCTCAGGTAGTCACCTATCTTTCTTGTCGAAGGGTGTGCTTTAATTTAAACAGAGTTAATTTAGCTGTTACAATAGCACTCTAACTACCTTTAACTGCTATTTTGTAACCATTTTGCTAGAAGCATAGTTCTCAACTTGACAAAACAAAGCCTTTGTTCTATTTTCCATTAGAACAACTTTCTTCATTTTGCTCACAAACTTGGTATTTATTGTCTTACTGGTGTCATAACGCCTTATACCTGAGCCATGCTACACCTATGCCGGTTTCATCATTTTATCATCATCACCTCTGTGTCTCATAGGTGATGCCTGCTTCTTTTTGGACTTCACTGGTGATGCCTAGTTCAGCCTCCTCTGTGTGGATATGTAAACAATTTAAGATCACGAGGCCAATGGGTGAGGAATTTTCTAGGCTCAACCCTTGCAAGTTTGTTTTATCTACTACTGTTTCTAGGTTGACAGTTTTCAGTTTGCATTTTCTTGGATTATTAATGGCAACTTCAGCGGTTGCCAACATTAGTCTGCTACATGGGGAAAACTTAGATTAATGTTCTATTGTATCACAAATTTTCTTACATCAAATTAATAAAAAACTTCTGTATATTTGTGCTGGATAAAAATCAGTGTCTACTTCCATATGAGTTACTTTTCTGCAACCAAGTCTACGATGCATTCTTAATTTTTATTTACAGGGGTTTTTTGTTTGCTGGGGCTTTCTCGTTGATATTCCAGCAATTAGAAGTAGTTTTGAAAGATAAATTTTGTATTGAGAAGGCATCAGCAGCTGCCTCGTACTCTAATCTTTCACGATAACAGTGTATGATTTGCTGAACTCATACTTGTAAGATTAAAATTTGTACCATATTTTTGGGATATTTACAATGAAAATGTCAGAATTCAACTTGTAGCAGTAGAGTGGCAAAAACGCATAGCATACAATGTTTATTATAATTTTCATGGTTATGTGATGATTTCTTGTGTCATTAATTGTTAATAATATTAATTGCGGCTGTTGTTTTGTTTTACACACAATTTCAGCTTTGTTTTTTTGATCACTTGAGGTTGTCTACATGTCTCTTCCTGTTTATTGTTGTCTGATCATTTTGCTTGCTTCAGGGCCTATTTGTTTCCCACGATCTTGTTCCTGTTCCATTCATTCCATACTGCCTGACCACACCCACATTCATGATTCTTATATCTGACTGGTTGATCCCATAATTTCACTGAGATTTCTGTTGGATATCTCTTACCTACCCAGGTTTTAGGATAGCAGCTGAAATGACTCCTTTTCGAAAAATTAAGTTTGATGGATTTTTTATGGCTGCCCTTTGTGCTGTGTTAGGGTACTTTGTTCCTGCGAGGAAGAACAAAGACGGTGGTGGTGATTTCTAACCAAAATTGATTTGGGGATTTTTTCTTGAAAATTTAGTGTGGAAAATATCTTTTCTTGTTGAAAATTTCTAACCAACATGGCTGCTGAATTTAAGGCTATGTTAGATGGTTTAAATATGCTGGTGAGGTATGGTTTGGAGGGATATCAAGTATTGATTGAATCACTCTTTAGTGGTGGCAAACACTATTAAAGGTATGTTTCAGTGTTCTTGGCCTTATATGGGGATTATGGAGCAGATTGGGAAGCTGTTAGCTGGGTTGCATTTTCAGTTGAGACATGTTTACCGAGAAGCAAACTTTGTGGCAGATAGCTTGGCTAATAAGGAGGTTCAGGATGGGTTCTCCTCTGACTATAGTTCGATCCAGTTGCTTGCACTGGTAAGGATGAAGCATTTACAGGATCAGAGGTGCTTACCTGTTTTGCGTACAAAAACTGTGCTGTGCTGCTTTTTGATGATGGTGGCCAAGGAGCTGGAGTGATGGTGGTGAAGCAGGTCTGCTGAAGCTTTTTGAGAGGTTTGTGGGTATGCTGAAGAGGCCAGTGGGAGCTTACTGCAATTTTTTGGTTGTTTTGTGAGTTTTCTTGATTGTAAAGCTCAAGGCAGTAGGTTGTTTTGAAGGTTTAAAGCCAAGTTGTGGCTCATCTTTTTAGCTTCTTGTAAATATTTCTGTTATTCAATAATTTTTTTTACGAATTTACCCTTAACGGTCATAGCATTATACATGTTTAACCTCTATTAATTTATATATACCCTTTATATACACCGGTGAAGCCCACCCACCTTTTATTTTCTCTACCGCCCTTTCCATTTCTCTTTCTTTCTCTCACGTCGGCCTCCACCACCCGTCTCTCCTTTGAACAATCGGTGGTGAAGGCAATGCTAACTGCTAAGCAGCTAAGGTATCGATTGGAAAATAGGGTCAACAACGTTTGTTAAATTGCGAAGCTCTGTTGACCTGAAAATATAATTAGAAACACTCTGTTAATACTGGTCATGCATATAAACAAAGAGACCATACCTTTTATATATTTGTGTCGAGACATATAGAAAGTTTTTTAATTTTTAATTTTATCCTTAATTAATAATATAAAGTTAATCATATACTTTTCTATTTCTTTAGAATGATTAAATATAATAGGTTAATAGCTATTGACATATATTCAATAAAGAGAACAAAAAAAGTTCCTATGCAATAGAAGACTTTTCTTAGTCTTTCCTTCATATAAAAGTAGATTACACATATAAAACCAACAGTTTTGTCTCTAATTAGCCCATATGTTGTAATGATGGTAGTTAGTTTCTGATTCTAATATTTTATTAAGACCCATTTGTTAATGAGTATTGTCCGTAATAATTATAAATAGATATTGGTTATATATTGTATTTTATCATATTATTTGTCTTTTAAGTCCATTTTATTATTTTATAATTTTTTTATTGAAGGGGAGGAGTGTTCTAATAGAATATGAACATTAGACATTTAACTTGTTAATGTTTATTAAAGTTGTGCATTTTGCAAGAAAAAAAATGATCAACAACTTTAATATATAATATTTTATACACAAAAGAGTATACATATAACAAATGCGGACGAAAACTAGTATAAACACATATAAATTTGCAACAACAAACTATATAATCACCTTATTAGGTGGTGGTGGTGGGGGGTTGCTCGCGGTTCTGGGTATGGGGAAAGACACGAACAGAGAGATCTTTGGGTGGGTTGGTGCTTGCATGCTTGACAACATCATGGTGCTGGTGGATAGAGAGTGGGTTGAGTGGGGCTATGGGGGAGTATGGTAGTGTCGGTGGTGTAGCAAAGTACTCCAGATTGTCAGAAGACTAATTCAAAATTATCTCCATATTATTTTGACATGTGCAGATATAGACATGATTACTGTTGGTTGAATAATTTTTTTTCTTTCACAAAATATACAAGTGAATTAGCCTCCTTATTACATTTTGTGTTCAATAAAGCACTAATGTTTCGTTTGGTACGATAGAAAAGTGAGAGGATGAAAAATTAAAGGGATAAATAAAACATCATGTTTGGTAAGGAAGGAAAGTAAGAAGAATTAAAAAGTGGATGAATTAACTTTCCTTCCAACTCACAAAAATCAATCCCTCCAAAATCGGAAGGAACGTAGGAAGGATAGAAAAGTGAATGGATTAACTTTCCTTCTAACTCACCAAAATCAATCCCTCCAAAATCGGAAAAAAAGTTGATGAAAAATTAATTATTTGTATTGAAATGTATCCTATTTGTCTATATATCTTATGTATACATTACATAAAAAAATACAATGATAAAATATGTAATGTTATTTAAACATAATTTATTGACATAATTTATTGATTTAATCATTCATAATCATTGAATTGACAATAAGTTATATTTATTGAACCTCACAACCAATGTAATGATTATAATAAATTTTGTTAGAGAGATTGAAAGTTAGACATCCAGTCAACTTTAAAATTTTCATGAACCATTGAATTACACATGGATGGTCAATACTTCAACGATGTAGTTTAAAGATGCAACAGTAAATTTAAAGATGCATAGATACTATTTTTATCAGTACAACAAATCTAAAAAAAGACTTCAATATCATACTTTCATAAAGATATATCAAGTGTAAAATTTTATTATTCTATTTTCTTTTCTCTCAATGGTTTCAAATCATCTAAGATAAAATCTACGGCTAAGATGCATTAAGGTATGGTAGGGACGATGCCGTAACTTTACCCATATATCATAGGAAATTTGCAGCAAAACATGGGGGAATTCTAAATGGTTGTCTAACGGGTGGTTCTGAGTTGTATTTTGTCCTTTTCTTGCTTTGTGCACGACATAATAGGGGTCAATATCAGTATTCAAGAGAGAAGGGCCAGAAGGGGCCATAATGCAGCTTGCAATTAAACATTACAAGTGGTATTCGAGGGTGATGGGTCAAGTTTAAGGGCCCAACTCATATTATAAATTCAATCTAAATAAAGAATTTGACTAGACAAGATCTAATGGGTCCAACCCAAAAAAGGTCTGTGCCTAGTCAAGCTCATCAAGGTTCGAGAACTTACATCACTAAGGAGTAGGAGTGCAAATTGAGCGGGGCTAACCCGAATTCAACCTGAGTACAACTTGAAAAAATAGGGCTTAGGCTAGAATTTTTAATATTTGGGTTGGACATGAGCAAAAAAACTCCAACACGAATTAAATTTGGGTATGCCTCGAGTACAACCCGAATATTAAAATCGGGTTAAACCTGAATATACATAAATATATAAATATATTTAACTAGGATTAATATTTATCTTCACTCTTTAGAGTCCAGACTTTCACTTCACTTCAAGTTTTCACCCTTATGCCTCCATCACTCTTAAATCCTTTTCTCACTAGTCACTCCTCCCTCTCTCATCCTCCTTCTCTCAATCGTCACTCGTCTAAGTCGACTCAGACTCTCAGCCTCCTTTTCTCACTCATCACTACTCCTTTTCTTAGTCTCCCTCTTTCAATCGTCACTCTTCTGAGTCATCTTAGACTCTTAGCCTCCCTCTCTCACTCGTCACTTCTTCTCTCACTCCCTCTTTCTTCATCTATGCCTCGCCTTTTATTTTAGATCACTTGAAAAAATCATATCTGCACTTGAAAAAATCAAATCTACACTTCAAAAAAAACAACCTGAATTAAGTAATTTAAGTCTAACCCGAAATCAACCAAAATTAAGTAATGCGAATTCAACTCGAACCACCCGAATTAAACTCGGGTAGTACTCGGGTTGAGTACTTTGAGTTAAGGTATGGTTAGGATTGAAGATTATATACTTAGAGTTAGGCTAGGGTTAACCTCTCAACTTGCCTAACCCGCCTGAGTTGCATCCCTACTAAGGAGTAGGCAAGGTCATTTCAAGAGTCTCATCCATACCACCTTGAAAAAAGTCAACCACCA